ACCAACCAACTAACCAACCAACCAACCAACCAACAACACCAACCAGAGTAATGGGGGTGATTTCTTTCTTTTTTTTTTTAATATTTTATTTATTTATTTATTTATTTATTATGTATACAATATTCTGTCTGTATGCCTGAAGGCCAGAAGAAGGCGCCAGACCTCTTTACAGATGGTTGTGAGCCACCATGTGGTTGCTGGGAATTGAACTCAGAACCTTTGGAAGAGCAGGCAATGCTCTTAACCACTGAGCCATCTCTCCAGCCCCATGGAGGTGATTTCTGAATGAAGATATTTTCCCACAGGGCCAGTTATGAAAAAAATGAATGTAAGTTAACTAAATTAAACCAGTGTATCACAGTCTAAGCCCAAATCTTCAGAGATTTAATAAGAGAAAGAGGTCAGGACCCCTTTAAGTGGAAAGTGAAGGGCATGAAGCCACAAGCATAAATAGGTTTAATAAATAATTACATGTGTACGTGGAAGGCCGAGGAGGTTCTTCAGAACAGGGACTGAACTGCTGATGGTAATTTCTGTCTTAATTATATTTATCTGAAATACAAATGTATTGGTAAGAACATTTGAATTCTCTAATCAGAAGATTAGGGACTTGGGAGGAGTGCTGTGAGTGCTCTGAGCTATTTTTTTCCCAGGCTGCTTGCTCCCCGCCCCCATCCCTATTCTTTTTTTCTCTATAAGTGAATCTGGGAAGCTTTGTCAGAGTGTAGTGTTGTGTGTGTGTGTGTGTCTGAGGTGCCATCCTCCCTCACAGAAGAGCCAGCTCAGATGCCACATCCTCTCTCTCTCCTCTGCTGGAACACCCATCATCCACCTCTCGACACTTCCTGCAGCTCAACTTTTCTTTTCACTCTTGCTTCCAAGGGATTTTAAGTCCACCTCCATCTTGCTTTTTGCCTTGCCTTTTCTGAGGCTCAGCTGTAACGCAAACGAACGCCACATGAGGGCACCAAAGCCATGCTAGTAACTCCCACCCAGTCCGCCTTCCGTGGAAATGGTCTCCTAAGCAGGAGGCCATGGGGCTGTGGCTGGCCTAATGGCCAAGAGGGAGACAATGAGGAAACAGCTAGCTGATATGCTCAGGAGTCCTCTAATCCCACCCCAGCTCCCTAGAACGGTGGTACTGGCCAAAGAGATCCTCCAAGTTGTTTGCTCAAGAATCCTGGAGCATCTGCTTGCTGTGTGGCTTTGATCACGCCTCTGCCTCTCTGGTTCTCTATTTCCCTCCATCCACTGCTTCCTCAAGGAAGATGCTCATTGCTCTTCTCAGCTACCCCTACTGGTCTGCGTCTATTTCATGCTCCATGTTGTTACACACGCGCTCACACACGCGCGTGTGCACACACACAACAAAAACCTTCAGACAAAAAAGTCAACAAGGTGAGGCGCTTTCTCTCCCCTTAGGACTTCCTGGTTACAGATCAGTGACACTTGGGTGTCAGTCCAAGAACACAGACAGAGACAGAGAGACACAGAGAGAGAAGTTCTAGGTTTTTTTGTTTTTCCTGTAAGAGGGAAGGCTATACCCTTGCACAGGAAAAGCTGGTGGGTTTGGTGGGTTCCCCTGGTAGGTGAGGGCCTGCTGTGCCGCTCTGTATGTTATGGGGGGCTTCCTTGCTTCAGAAGATTCCAGGCTGCAGGATGATGTCTGCAGGATGATGTCACTATGACCATGGTATCAGGGCAAACAACAGGAGACCATATGTGGCTCAGTTTCCCAGCAGGCTCAAAGCCCTAGGTGCGTTCCATTTAAGCTGCACGCACACACACAACTTCCAATGAAATCCTAGGAGACCCTGAAGTATTGCTATGACACCACACTGGCCTGTCCAAGTCTCCGGATGGCCCAACACTTGACACCTCTACCTGGAGAAGCTTTTGCTTCTTCTCCAAGGCCCACCCTGTCCTGACTGCTGCTGAGCTGAGCTAGTCACCTATTGTCCCTGCCCTGGAACCCGTTATGGCTTGCACCGTGTCATGAGTCATGAGTAATTTCACATTCTTTCCCCTTCCCTACCCCCCCCCCCCCGAAATCTCCTGAGGCCGGAGGGGGGATCCACTTACCTCAGTATCCACCAGGAAGTACTGTGTCTGCTGAGCCAATTAATTTGTTTCCATTTAAGAAACTCATTAGGGAGCTTCCTCATCCTGCGGGAGCTGCAAGTTCCTCTCTCTTGGAACCACCCCTCTGAGGGATGGTGGAGCTCAGCTTTGCCAGGCAGCTATCCGCCATGATTCCTGGAGCTCATGGCTGTATCTGAGAGAAAGCAAACATGGAACTTGGGGCACAGGGTGTTTGAGAACAGGGCACTTGTGCAAAGGGACACACAGAGCACATTCCAGTTGGAAGGGAGCCATCGGGGTCTCAAAGGTGCCTCTAAGATTTGAACATATTGTCTCAGGAAGTGTAAAGAGCAGATGTGACAGTTTGTACTGAATCACCCCCCCCCTCCTCCAGCCCTCCAGGGGCATCCATGGGTCAATTCCAAAAGCCAGCCCAAGTTTCTGATGAGCTGTCCCCATAGCTATTGAGAGCACTTCTCCTTCCCAGACCCTCGGTCAAGTGACACTAAATACGTAAGTGTCTTCACAGTTCAAATCTTTGTCCCCTGACCATTGCTATAGCAGAACCTGAGGGTGGGTATCCTGGTTACCAAAGGCCACCAGCCAGAGTTGCCCAGATGGCTTGAAGACTCAGGCCTTTTGCCTACAAAGGGCTGCTCAGGGAGTCTCTCAAGAATATGCTGGAGGGCCCTTTCCACCAGGAAAGTTTTCTTTCTTCCTGTGAATGCAACCTGGTTTTGCTGAGCTGCCGGAAGGGCCCTTGACTCCTCACTGCTCAAGGACGAGCTGCTGAGGTGGCCGGGACATTGTGACCAATAATGAAGGCAGAAGAAAGAAAGCCAGCCCTGTGGCTCTGAGAGGCAGGCCTGGCCGTGACTAGACGCCTGTGCTCAGACAAAAAGCTGGGAGAGAGAGAGAGAATGTTAGCAGCAGCTTCTCTCCTCCTCAGAGAACTATAGCTCATCCCCTGCCCCCATTAATTGGCAGGAGATTAAAAAATAAAAAGAAAAAGAAAGAAAAGCCCAAAATGAAAACCAAATCAATGCCACTACCCTGAATGTGAAGGTTTCTGGAATGGAAAAGCCCTTTCAATTGTTAGATGTCCAAGAAAACACGGACACACGCTGACAGAGGAAATCAGCCACAGTCAGAGGAAGAGGGAGGGGTTCATAAAATAGGGAAAATTCCTTTTAGCATCTCCCATCCTGTAGGCTGGCTCCTTTGTGTGCCCCGGTTCCTAAGGAAAGTGAAAGACTCAGCCTGGGAGAAACTTCAGGAAGACGAAGACTGGGTTGGAGGGACGCCAGGAGTCCCTTAAAGGAGTAAAAGCAGAGGGCACAGATGCCCTTGGACTGTGTCAGTAGTATTCACAGGGCCTTTGACTGTTAGGGACACCACTTCTGGGAGGGCCCTGTGGCTCAGCACACTTCAGGAAATGCCTTGGAGGCCTGACTCTCTCCCAACCTCCAGCAGGTCTCCCGGGGTGTCAGGTCCTGGCCTCACTCTTCCTCTTCCTCCTCCAGGAGGGAACACAGCTCTCTTCAGGCACTCCCTCACCACTTCCCCTGAAGGATACTTTGGGAAAATGGTAAGGGAAAGAGTGACAGTTGTGGAGGCCAGCCTCCCAGGACGGGTGACAAGGCACTGGGTGGGGGGCGGGATGGGGGCCCTGAACTGACAAAGGGACCAGGAAGATGACGCAGAAGGTGGGTCATACATGGAAGGAGATGCCAAGGAAATGGCTTGGCTTCAAGCTGCTGAAATCAATGGCAGCTACCCAAAGGTGCCTTTTAGTTCTGTTCTGCCCCAACCTGACAGGCAGCTTTGGCAGGTCTAGACCTGCCTCAGGCCTCTGAACACTGGGCCTGACTCCGTCCAAGGATAACCAAAACTGGAGATGACCAAACTGTCACCTGCAAATATTTTAATTCACAGCTGGGGGACGGTGGCTATCACATGAATTTGGAAGAGGTTCTGGAACCCTGCTGTTCAGTCAAGGACAGCCATGCCTCTCACGCTGCCCTCAGACACGGCAGAGGTAGGGGTGCTGGCTCATCTTCATCAACACCTTGACGGAAGTCAGAATCAGGAGACACCGCTCCGGCCATGCCTGTGGGCATGCTTCCTGGCCAAGAATTAGAAAAGGGGGAAGGTGGTAGAGATGGGAAAGAGGGGAAAAATGATACAATTATAGTCTCAAAAACTAAAAAGTAAAAACGAGAGAATGGTGGCACTATTCCGTGTCTGAGGTCCCAGCAGGAACGCAAGAAGCCACGTGAGCAAGAGCATCCACACTCCTGCCACCCTCAACTGTGAGGTTTCCTGTCATCTCGAAAGGTCTAAGTACATGCAGCTACAGAGGTACTTCTATCCATGTGGTGACAAAGAGCAGTCCACGTCCCTTGAAATAGCCCAAGTTTTAAGGTGACAGTGAGGCCATTCAGAGCTGATGGCAGCACCAACCTGCTGGGCTGCTCACGAACTGTGTGATCTCAGGAGGTGACCCCCACCCCAAGCCTGTCTTTTCCCCACCTTAAACACGTCCAGGGCTCAGTGTGTTTGACTGATAATGGGGAGAAGGCCCTTAGTAGACTGGGGTGAACCTGAGGGGTTCACCCACATTCGCCATCAGCTACCATGGGTAGGATGGGAGCCTGACAGCTTGGTTAGCTTTGAGGCTTTGGTCCATGGCTACAGACTGCACAGGGCCTGGCTCACATCTCAACACATGCTGCTCCTCCTGCTGAGGTCCTGTTCTCAAAGCGGTCACTCAGGTACCCAGAAAGTTAATTACCAAGCCCTGGCTGGAGCATGCCACTCTCCTCTACAGGGCCTGCCATGCCAGCAAGCCCAGTCCAGGAAACACATCTTGCAGGCTCTGCAGAGACCCTCAGGGATATACTTTTAAAAAAAATTTAAAAATGGCTAGTAATATATATTAAATGACTATTTTATTTACACACCCTATTCATAAATAATTGCATCATCTTCGACTGCACAATAGTTCCTTGACATCTAACGATTACAGAGTGTACATCTAAAAGTAGATGGGGGCTTACTCTGGCTTCTGACATGGTCTCTAGTGTTTACACTGAATATGCACACCCAGAGACTCAGACATGCCCAGAGGGGTGGCTCCCAGGGCCTCCTGGACTCCCAGCACCAATGGGAAAACCTCGCCCACACAGGTGAGTTCTGGACAACTGGAGAACAAAGAGATGCAGGCCAGGGCTCGGCCCCGCCCACCGCTGGGCCCCGCCCACCACTGGAGCAGCTCCACCTTTGTTCACCCTGGAAGGCATCTCTTTGGATTGCAAATATTTTAATTCACAGAAACTCAAGGAGGGGTGGGGCACGGGCTGGGGTGGTGCAGCAGCAGGCCGTCCCTCTTCACCCAGGCCTTCTCCAACCCTGTAAGTGACAACAGCGTTCTAAGACATGCAGTGGTGTGCCAGGACCATACACACGACACACTGGACACCGATGGCAACACAGGGAGCTGGCCGGTGCCCTGCCGGCTCCTCCAAGGATCAGGCTTGGTCACAGAGCAGGGTGAGGCTGGTCCTTTCACAGAGTCCGCACAGCCACTGGGTAGAGCAGGGACAAGTGCTCCGCCCCTTTGATGGGCAGCTTCCTGGTGGTGTAGTAGTGGATGACTTCCGGGACGCTGTCGAAAGGGGGGCTGTTCTGACCCAGAACATACTTCTCTTTGGTCTTGGCCAGTTTCATGTGCATGAAGCCCTGGTTGCTCCTGCAAAGGAAACGCGGATGTCAGAAGTGTGTGGTGTCTGAGGGGCAGGGAGGCACTCTTAGGGAGCCACTGGCTCCTGCTTCTGTCCGTGCATGTTCTCCCCAGGGGTCTAAAACAAGGGGTCCCAGCCACACCCAGGAGCACCCTCCACTCCAGCATCTGATTGGGGTACAGGGGTTAACCACTGCTAATGGAAAGACTTTGTATCTGGAAGGTTCTAGGATTGGGGGTTTTACCCAGCCCTTCTGCTTGGACCTGTTTAAACCCTGCAGTTATACAAGACATCCCACACTGAGAGGCGGCCTTGGCCAGTGTGGTATATATCAAGAGCAGACAAACTATTCTTTTCTTAGACAGAGGATAACTGTCTCAGGAAAGGGGCAACTCATCCAGGAACCACACTTCCTAGGGCAGTCAGCCACACGACAAGCTACATAGCCAATGGAATGTGGGAAGCTTTGCTCTCTACCCAGCAGTCTCCCAGGCACCCAAGGCAGAGTTCCTTCCTTCACATCAGTGGCCTGAGGACAGTGCAGACTCTACCTGCACTTGACTTTCTGAGCTGTGGCAACACATGTCCCACCCCAATACTCAGTTCCCCAAGAGCTCTGAAGAGCAGGGCCAGGCCTCTGTGCCCACTCCCCTTGTTTCAGATCTGAACAGAACTTAAACCAAAGTAGAGGCAGTGGCAGATTCCGACCACGTGTCCTGGCCCATCACAGTCTGGCAGTGGGTACAGGTCATTGAGGATGAAGACCACTGCCTCAATTGCTGGCATTGTGTCCCAGAAGACCCCTCCCATTTGAGGTCATGCGTTTGCTCACACATGCCTCCATCACCCTGCCGCCCCTGTGCAGGCTGCATGCCACTTCCTGTTCACTCCCCCAAGCCTGACCTGTGCCCATGCCTGTGCAATTTACCCAGTGCCTGTCATTTGTTAGAAGCCTAAGGTTTCTGATTGGGAGTGTGCTACTAACTCAGGGCTCACCCCTGGTAACTTGTCAACAGCCCTAGGGACCCAGCAGTCAGGGCTACCTAAGGAAGCCCAGAGTCCCATGTGGGTTCTGGGGGGCTGTGGCCTTCCTGAGCCCCAGCTCCCTTTCTGGTTTCTATGCTCCAATGGGGTCCTTAAACCTGACCTGTCCTCTGGGTGAAATGGGCCCCCCAAAACCTGCTATGCTCTCCAAATGGGTAGAAGAAATGTCTAATGACACGCAGGCACCGAGCAATCCATCTGCGCATAATAATGTATTTAGAGATGTCACCCTGGGATTAAAGAAAATTGTTGAGAGCAATTACATTTCGAGAGAGAATAATTCTTGTGAAGAACTGAAATTTAAATTGAGAGTTTTAAGAGTGTGATGTTCTAATTACAGAGCTTGTGGCAAGCTCTACTCCCAAGTGAAGGGTCACTACACCTGAATCACCTCCGTGCTAGCGGAGGTGCTGTGTGGAGCGCTGGCTCCGACACCTGGGAAGGCGAGCATGTCGCACAGAAAACGTAAAGTGCAGCGTGGCCAAGGACTCGTGCCCCCAGCATGATGTACAGCCCACAAACACCAGCCAGCTTGGAAAGGACCTGGAGCTGCAGTGAGGTGACACCAGGTGTCCCAGAGCCCAGCTCAGCCTGCCTGGTGTACAAGGGTGCCAGGAGTGGCTATAATTCATCACTATCCTGGGGGAATGTGTATGTGTGCGCGCGCGCTTGGGGGTGCTGAGTGTGCTGAAGTCGTGGAAGCCAAGCCACCTAGCTCTGAGATCCTTCCACAGTCCCACCCGAGGGAGCAGGGGCTGACATCACAATTCCCACTGTACGTAAAGGGGTCAGAGCAAAGCAAGGAAGTCATAAGGCTGGCGTTAATAGAAATTTCCACACTAGATTCTTATGTCCTCTAGCAGGCAGCAGGTGGAGGAAGGTATGCCTCTATTTCCAGGCAGTAGCCAGTGGAAGGGCCCCACACTTCCTATGCACACGGAGGACTTGAGGTCACCACAGCAATCAGCAGCAAGGCCCACTTCTCTCTGGGGAGCAGGGTGGCAGGAGGAGCAGGAGGGCCTAAGCAGATATCCTCTCCATGCCCTCGTGCCAACCTCACCAGGCAATGGCAGATCAGAGACCAGAGGGGTGGGGAGGAAGACCATACACAAAACTGTCCCAGGAACCAGGATTGGCCTATCCCAACTCGTGAAGCTCCAGGTCATGAAGACAGGATGGTGACCCCACCCTAAGAGGTTCTTGCATCTTCAGTCACTTCAAAGGTCACGTGACACCGAGTGCATGCATGCATGCAAGCACACACTGAACTACGGGGTGGTATCATAGCTTGGCTGGTTATAAGAGGTTAAAAATGCCAGGTGGTGGTGGTGCACACCTTTAATCCCAGCACTTGGGAGGCAGAGGCAGGCAGATAGATCTGTGAGTTCGAGGTCACAAGAGCTAGTTCCAGGACAGCTAGGACTGTTACACAGAGAAACCCTGTCTCAAAAAACCAACCAACCAACCAAACAAACAAACAAACAAACAAACTAGGGGTGGCTTTAACCACTTGTAGCACTGCATAAACAGACAGTAGCAGGTGTGCTGGCTCTTTTTTTTTTACTGTCTTCTTGACATAACGTGGAACCACCATGCAGATTCTCTGCTCGACTGTGGATGTGGTGTGTATGATCCGCTCTCTCTAATTTCTGTCTGGACATGCCCTTAACGAGGACCTGGAACTGCAAGTCAAATATTTAAGCCTTCCTTCCCGAGTATCTTTTGTTCTGGTTTCTTGTGGCTGCTCACAGCAAGATGGTTTAGTGAAAAGTTGCCTGTGGCCACTGTACCCTCCTCACCCCTTAGATACCCTGGAGGAAACAGGCCAGAGGGGTGGGCTCTAGGCAGATCCTGCTCCTACCCTTAAGGCACAGAAGAGCACAAGGACGGCAGGGTGGTTCTGGGATGGCACCTTTCCCGGGGAGCTCTGACAGGCTCCTGCCAACTGTTTCTTTGTTGGTTCCGTCTCCTTTGATAGGACATCTTGTGAGAGCACAGTCACAATTAGGGGTGTTTCTGGTGGGTGACCTGTCTAATGAGTCTTGTAAGGCCCAGGGAGGCAGGGTGCTTGGGTTGTCAGGGCACTTAGATTGTTCATTACCATCACAAAAAGCACCTCCTTGTCACTGTCCCCAGGATTAGCAAGCATGCCTGGCAAGTGCTGGCCTAATAACAGGCCCCACCTCGCCTCCTAATCATGAGCTTTAATAAAACATCACTCAGCCCACAGCTGCCCGCCGCTAGCCAGGGTGCGGGGCCTCACCTCTTGCTTTTAGACCTAATTGCTTGATGCATATTTCATGAAGAATCCTGGGTAATAGTTATGTTAAATCGTTTCTTTTCATGATGAAATGACTTAAAAACACTTGCATATAATATTTATGTGGGAGAAAGGAGGAAATAGCACTGGGACTAGCACGGCAGGACCAGCCACAGGAGTCCGCACAGAGCGTTTATACTCCGCTCTGACTTTGAGTCAAGTGCTTGAATTCTTTTTTAGCTCTGGATCATCATACATGGTTCCCAATGTCAATTCAAAATTCAAGATACTAGTCCTTAAACCTTACCAGACTCAGAGCTAAGCTTACATATGTAGCATCACTTGCAGATGGGGAAACTGAGGCTCAGAAAAGACGGGGCCAGGATTTGGATCCGAATCCTTCCTTTCTCTCTTCCTCCAGAAACATAGCCCAGGATGGCCTCAAACTTGCTATGTAGTCAAGGATGACCTTGGGCTCCCAGTCCTCCTGCCAACTCTCAAGTGGCAGAATTAGATGTCTTCAACCATGCCCGGCCTCAAACCTACGTCCCTTGGACTCAGCAGCCTGAGTGCCCTTCTCAGTCTGGCACTCAGGACCTGCAGCGACCACTGTGACCTCCGATGCCCAGCCGGAAGGGTCCATGTGGGTGTTTGAACTTGTCCTGCCTGAGAGAAAGCTTTGTGAGACCCACAGTTGGCTACCCTATCTGCTCACTGTAATGCTTCCCAGATGAACGGACTCTAGCCTGCAGCCAAGGCTCTCCAGGAATTCTACCCTTTCTCCACTGGCTGACTAGTCAGGGTCTGCCTGGAGCAGGGAACTGAGGCCCTGACTCCTCCCCAGCTGCAAGCTCTGGAGGGCAGGCTGGAGAGTGAGCCCAGAAAGGTTTGGGGGTGATGTGGGGTGGGGCTGTCAGAGAACAGTCCTGTGAGGTGGGTACACAGATCCATAACTCTCAAAGCATGCCATTCTCTTCAGGGCTCAGACTTCTTCTTGGAGTTCAAAAGTCATGTCTGGGATCCCTAAGCTGGCCACTGCCCTTTGCATGGGCTCACATGCATACGCAAAAACCACAAATATGGGCTGGAGAGATGGCTCAGTGGTTAAGAGCATTGCCTGCTTTTCCAAAGGTCCTGAGTTCAATTCCCAGCAACCACATGGTGGCTCACAACCATCTGTAATGAGGTCTGGTGCCCTCTTCTGGCCTGCAGACATACACACAGACAAAACAATGTATACATAATAAGTAAATAAATAAATATTTTAAAAAACCACAAATACAAGACCAGTTTCTTCCCTATGTTTTGTTTTCCTGAAGGGTGCAGTCATGCATTTTAAATGCATTCAACAATGGAAGAAGATGGATAGTCCACAGCCCCTTCCTCCACAACAGAGAAAGAACTAAGTTTCGAGGCCTGAGAGGACAGGTTTGGTACACAGGACACACCATCTGCCCATGACGGACAAGGACATTCATGCTAAACTGACAGGAAGCAAGGTTCTGCTCTAAAGACAAGCCTCTGGGATGTTAGGAGACAGACTGGCTTGGAAGGTAACCATGGTCTTGTCCCTCCACGGCCACAGTGACAGTCAGTTTTACAACTCAGACCGCTATTCCCCTCTCACCCTTCCAGGCATGGTCTTGCTGGGAGCCCAGGCTGGCTTTGAACTCATGATCTTCCTGCTTCCAAAAGTACTTGGGA